ATCATCCTCAAATCTGCAGAAAAGACTCGATGAGCTGCTTTTCCTCCTGGAGAACTTAAAGGTTTCTTTCCAGTTGTTACCTCAGAAAATACCTCTGCGATTATTTTTTTTTTTAAATGGTGCTTTGAGCTTTTTCATGGTTCGGTGGTTATTGGTTCAAGATTGAGTCCCAGGAGTGGGATAACTAGGACAAAGGAAATGAACATTTTTATTGCTCTTGCTTCATATTGCCAAATTGCTTTCCAGTAAGGGATTGTGCCCATTTACACTGAAGACCAGTCTGAAACTCAGCCCCAAGGAAATACCGATCTTGCTTGTCTCGGTTGCTGATTTTAATTTCTCCATTCTTCAGTGGCTTGTTAATATTAGTTCTGACCTTTGGGGCAAGGTGAACACATGATTGGCCTGAAGAGAAAAAGCTCCGGGTGGCTGAGGAACTTCTTTGGCAACTACAACATCTGATATTTCAACAGAGCACACACACCCCTCTCTTACCAAGGGTACTTCCCCAGCCTTCCCAGGGAACCAACGAAGGACTCCAGGCTTCCTCTTTGATGCCACCCACTGGACTTGCTTTGGGGGTCTAAATGCAAGAAAGCCGTGTGTTGGATAATTAGCAATGGAAGAAAAATCTTATAGGAGAACAGGTAGGTGAAACAGAAGGAAAAATATATAGGAGTTGCACAAATCCAAATTTGTTCTGTAGGCTGTCTGGAAAGTGTTTTTGTTTGATATAGGTGGTCACTTGAAGTGTGCATTAAAGGGTGTGGGGAAGTTGGGAAAAAGATATCTATATCTAATTACCTATCTACCTATCTATCATCCATTCTGACCTGTCTTTGTGAGACACTGGCCCAAAAGGCAGTTCCCTAGTACCTTTAGAAGGCTCTCTAATTTGAGGTTTTAATTTACTGGATTATAGAGATTATATCTCTTACCTCCTCCTGATGTATAAGATAGGGCTGATTTGCTATGGCATCTTGAACAAGGTTTTTAGCTTCTCCGGGCTTTAATACGCTACTCACTAAAAATGGAAATTGATGTTTTTAGCCTGCTTCCTTCAGAGGATTGTCTCAAGGTGAAGAGGAGTGGGAGGACAGGAACCAGAGCTCTTTTGAGATATTTTAGGACTTCTGTGCTCTGTCTGAGATTAGTGGTCTTGCTTTTTCTGTAGCCTTCACAGGCAGTACCACCCACAAACCTCCAGCCCTTCTCCTCGAGGGACTAAAGTCTGTGAAGAGCCACTCCTAGGACTAGGATGCAGTGAGCCTTGGGTCCTAGACATGGGGCTGAAAATAGTAGGGGTATGGTCGGCTAAAGCAGTAGCTAAAAAGGAAGTAGATCCTAGGCTGCTGCCACAAAAGACCTGATACTTATATAAAGGCACCTGACATATAAGGATGTGGCCAATCTCCCCTCCGCACCCTAATCCCCCACGTATGCATTCACACCCACACACTCCCAAGAATTACTGATAGGGAGATCCCATTAGTGATTTTGTTACCCATCAGTCCTATCGATACCACTTTTAGTGGAATTCCTCCACACACCTCATACTTTGGGAGGATGGTCAGGATCTGTGGGCCTCAGGATGGCATACTGTATGCTTTTCCTCCCTAGAGTAAAACCCATTGTAGAATTTGTGGCTCTCAGCTCTTGGTCTTGAGTGAGTCTCTAATACTGAGTTAACCCTTTTACTTTAAACAGTTAATTGGACCCTTTCAGGGAGGACTTTATTCTTTTGTTTATTCTGTTCTGCCCCATTCAAGGTTGTGAAACTTTCTGGATGCCAGCTTCTACCTTCAGACCAACTTAGTTCCTCCATCCAGGACCCTGCATAACTCTCCGTATAACACTTACCTTGTTGAATGGGAATTATTTGTCCACATGTTAATTTCATCTAGGGCAAAGAGATGTAGATTGTACAAACACTCAGCTGTCTACTCTGTGCCAGGGCCTTAGCTGGACACTGGAAACATAGATCACAAAAAACAGATCCAGTCCCCATTCTCAAGGAGCTCACAGTCTATTAGGGAAGTAGACCAATAAAACACAGATAAATACTTGCTCAGATAGTCGTAAGCATATAGACAATATGAGAACCAAAATCAAAGCCTGTCCTGAGGATATAGGGAAGGCTTCCCAGATGAGGTGAACTTTGAACCAGGTGTTGAAGAGTGAGTCATATTTTGTTGAGACTGGAAGTGAGGAGAGGGCATTCTTAAGCTGAGCAAAGGCCCAGATACAAAAAAATTAAAAAGTACACAGTTTGTTTTTAGTCAGCCAGTGCAGTAAAAACATTGGGGTCAAAAGAGAGACATAACTGGAGAGGCAGTTTGGGGTTTGATTGACAAGAGCCAGGCTGAGGCCTTTCCATAAGTCTTGTTTAGTTCCGCTTCTGGGACCAGAATTGACAACAGTAGTAAAAAAAAAAAAATTAGCTAATTCCAGGCAGTTTAAAGTTGGGTTTTTAAGCCTGGACCCTAGGTTTACCCTTTCAGACCTTGTCAAAAGCCTGCTAGCCTCCTATCTCAGATTTCCCGCTGCTAAAATTATCTTTCTGCCTCTTGGCAGGATCATGAGGACAAAATTATAAACATAGAAGAGAGTTCATGTGACTGGCTCAATTACCTTGAACAAGCCACTTTCCCTTCCTAGGCCTCAGTTTCTCTGTGAGGCTAGTGAGGATGTTTGTAAGGAACAACCAAGATAAGGATAAGGAATGACTTGTTGCTTTGTGGGCTATGGAAAACATACACATAAAGCATTAAGATTATTAGCATTAGCAGAATGATACATATTAAGAGACTTACAAGGATTAAGAGAGATCTTTCAAAGTCTAGTTCTGAAACTCAAGGTTCTAAGCTAATCTAGAAGACCACATTCTTAAATCAAGCTAGATTGATCAATTAATCCAACAAAAGCCCTGGACTGTTAGAAATCAGGTCCCCAGTGTTCTACTCCTGACTTGGTGACTTATTTGCTGCAGGACCTTAGGAAAATACTTCCTCTCTCTAGGCCTCCATTTTCTCACCTGAGAAGATTGAATGTAATGATTTCTAGTGGGCTTTTGTTTCAAAAAAACCCAAAATGTAAAAGTGAATTCATTTTTCTAGTTGATTGGCAGTAGGTATTTATTATTATAAATATCAATCCTTTGTCATAATATCATAAGTTTTCTTTACTGAGTGTTTCCTGTATGCTCAGCATTACATTAGAAGTTGCTGATTAGCCAAAAAGGTGCTTGATCATTTACTTCACAGTGCTAGGTGATATATATTGAGCATTTCCCAGGTTGCTTTACATGTATTTATATGTTGAATCTTCAACAACCCTAAAGGGGTAGGTACTCTTACCAGATGAAAAAACTGAGGCACTGAGAAATTAAGTCCTCTGTTCAAGGTCTCATAACAAAGGGCAGAAGTGGTATTCCATTCAGGTAGTATGGTTCCAAGAGCCCGTTGCTCTTAACCATTGTTATCCACTGCCTCAGTAGATTCATTTACATGAGCAGCCTCTGAAATGTATTGAAAGTTTGGTATGATTTATACACAACAACTGGAGGGAATCTAACCCTTGTGTAGACTAGGACACTGAGAATGTATTTTAGGGAACTTCTTAAAAGGCAAAGTGGAGCTGAGAGCATTGGAGGGCAGGGATTGGAGATTTCTATCCCCAAGAGATTGCCCCTGTGTAACCCAGCTCAGTGGAAGAA